TAAAGTTATGTTAATGCTAGCTTGGTTGTATTTAACTAGACAATTGATTTTAAAGTTTTACAACTTAAAATTAAAAGGAACTTAAACAAAAGGAACTTTTAAAAACAAAAGGAAAAGAGAAATGTTCTCATTTGGTGTGGGAGTGTAGTTAAGGTAACTTTCTCATGCGCTGTTCAGATGTTTGATTTGTAGGCCTCCTTTTAAAATGTAACATTTCATGTGGTTAAATATGTTCAAGTGCTTGACCATTCTCTGCTAATTCCATTGCAATGTGGTTTCTAAATTTATATTTCTATGAATTATCAAACAAATTTTGTGCACACAAATGAGATGTACTTTTCTATTAGCCAATCAGAAGCAGGCTTACTATTGTTTTACAAAAAAGTCTCTTGTCCCCAATGTGCCAGTGCTGGTGTTTTTGCTGCCTGTATAGGTGCTGACAGAGGATTATGGGATACATAAGGCAGCCAAGGATACATCTTTGCTGCCTTCAAATAAATGGAATGAAGGAGGTGCTGTCCTGTCTCAGAATGCTGTATGGGTAGCAATGATCTCTGTTTAATCACCATGACCACTTCAGTTAGGACTGAATTTAGGGCAGAAGCTGTTACATAACAGTTCATAATTTTATCCAAACTCCAGTATTACAAAAGCTTCTCAACCAGACATTTCCTAAATACTGTCCAGTCTTAAGGACAATGCCACTGGTGTTCTAACTTTTGTTTTAACCTTCTGCTTCTACTGTTAGCTGCTCTATTGTTTTTAGACAACTGTGACAGGCAGTGTGACAATTTTACTCTACTTTTATTCATATAGAAAAGTGGACACTGCAGACATGTTCTCCCCATTGACTCTTATTACCTTTGTGTTTTAATGTTGATAATGCACCAAATAAAATATTACAGCAATGGTGGTGAATAATGAGGAGATGGAGTTAAACTTGTGGCTGTTTATCAGGAGGAATAAAACGTCAGTTAAAGCCTTGGGAAATGGAAACAGCGTTGCCAGCTTGCCTCTATAGTTGGAAATCCACCAAAATATCTGAAAGCCCATCCAAAAAAAGCACCCATCAGAGACCATAATACATTAAAACACTTTGCTGTTATTTTACCATAACATCACGGGTTTTTCTGTATCACTCCGCTGAGACGCCATTGGTAAGCAACAACTTTGACAGCTGTAGGAGACGCTCAAGTCATTTTAACGTTTTTACTTCTTACTTTGTGAACAAACAGAAAATGGACACATTTAAGATCACATTTGACCGACAGACAATTTGGTCAGACTCTGTAGATGAGACTACACTAAATTCCCAAACTGTCAGTTGGTCTGTGTGAGGAGCTGGAGAACGAACTTCTGGCAGTGCAGCGAGTGAGCGGAGCTCGTCACTCCGACGTAGCAACAAGCTGCTTGTTAAGGAACTATAATTTGGCGGAAAATCGCTAACATTAAAATATATTAAATGACACGTTCATGACCCAATTTAATTATTTCTTACTTCATTTATGTAACTGTTGTATGAAAGCAATAGTGTGTTATCGTGAAATAACACACTCCCTCTGGTGTTCTATTGCTTAAATATCTATCACTTGAAAATTTGCAATATTTAAGAAGTCACTAGATGGCATTGTCAGTCTTTTAACAGATGTGTTTATCACTGCTATGAAGAGCTAAAAGTTTTTTTTATATGATTTTTAATGTAAATTTAGTATCCCTGTCAAACATCTATGAAACAGCTGGAGCATAACTATCCCTCATATACATTTTTAAAACTTGCTTACCTTTATATATGTGCCGAGGGGATTACAGGCTATTCCTAGTTCCTGCTGTTGCAGAACTATGCAGTAATGGCATGTGAGCGGGACTATTACATCAGTAATAAACTGGGCTAACCACTGATGTTGACTGCAAAGGAAACAGATGGGTATGGCCACGGCCTCCTCTCAACAGGAGTGACAAAAATGTATCTCAGAATTTTCTTACCTGATTGGATGTAGGAAGAAGTTAGGCCTATTCAAATGTCAGCTGCATTCTCAAGGAGCGCAGTTTATAAGTTTTACATACTTTTGCAAAACCACCAAAATAATAATAAACCAGCCCAAATTTTGCCCAGTCGCCAAAACACTTTTCTCCCCACCAAATCCAACCAAAATCCAAGTTGGCAAGAACCTGCCCGACCTGGCAGCTCTGAATAGAGACTGAAATTGGGCTGCACCCTGTTAAACAGCAGAGGACATAGTCACAATATGCGTAACCTCCAGTTTATCACACTTCACACTTCATTTTCTGTGATCTTCTCGAATAATTATATTTTCACACTCTTCACATGTAAAATTTCACTGTGTAATGTTGGTTTTCTAAATGTTATCATAAAAAATCATCACATAACTGGCTTGTTGGGAGTCCAACTGCACTGAAATGACAGTCATCAAGTCGGACAGTTTCACCAGCTGCCACCACTTAGGCTAGCAGATCTCATGGCATTCGTATGTTATATACATTTGAATTTTGCTTGTGGAAGTGATAACCAGAAACCAAAAGTGGGAAATAACAGGAATAATCATTATTGAATATTTATGTTTTTCCCCATTTTTTCCACTGTATAAGCCTTAAAGCATTTAAACGGGTTTTGCCCATCTATTTATTTACTTTGCTTTGTTTCAATCAAAGTATTTCATTGACTTCAATAAAACCAATTAAGCTGCTTGTTAGCAAATAAAGTAAAAAACACAAAGGAGTGATCAGTGGAGTGATGTAAGCAAACCTTCACCATGCAGATCTTGAATAGAGGCAAAAAACCCAAAAACCTACAAAAAACATCATGTGGTAACAAACAATAAAAATGATGTTATTCAACTGATTGAAATACTTTGAACGAAACAGTGCAAAACAGACTTTTAGTTTAGATGAACAAAAGCAATATTTAACATCAATTCAGTTCAACTGGATGCTGACAGCTATAGTAATAGTAGAAGGAAAGCAACCAGCCACAGCTAAATAAATAAATAATAAATAAATACATAAATAAATAAACAAAAGGCTAATATATTTGTAACACCTTAGACAATAAATAGTTTGTCTTTTCAAACTAAAAAGATGGCTCCATGTGGTAAAAAGCAGTTTATTAATTTATTCAACTCAAACACAAAACTTTGATCGAAACAATGCAGAGTGAAATAAATGAGTTAGATGAAAGCAAAACAATGTTTTACCTGAATTGAAATGTCAAAAACACTTCTGCCCTCTTAATTCCATTCTGAAGGCCAGTGCAAAACTATTTCACATTTTACTCATGTGGATGATCTGGCAGCCTTATCATTTTTAACTGTTTTTTTACATCAACATTTTGTCCACTAGATGACAGCAACGCTTGTCACTTTCACAACAGTACAAACTGCCTCACTGAAATCTTTTAACAATGTTACAAACAGTAGAACATCTAATATGAGTCAAAACAAATAATCTCTAAATTCACGAGGACAAAAAGTATGAAAAATAAAGCACTGTCTACTTTCTTTGTGGTTAGACATGACACACACAGCAACTTGAACACAAGATTTACACGCAAGATTAAAGTGGGATACAAACTAAACTCTCCATCATACTTAACTACTGGTACATCAGTCCTGTTTACATACTGCACTGCACATTATCTGTTTATCTGTAGATTTGTTGTATGTATATCTGTCCACCCCATGCTGTGAATAAACTACTGTAAACTGCTAAGATGACTTGCATACTCTGAACTTTGCTATACAATCTGTATTGCTAAAATAAAATACTGTAAAGACAACTTTTCTTTATACTGTAATAGACTTGAATATACAAACTAAGCACATTTCCAAAACATACAGTAAATTGTAGTTAAACTGTAGTTCATCTGTTTCTCTGCATAATTTGTTAGCCTCCTTTCAACCTGTTCTTCAAAGGTCAGGACCCCCACAGAGCAGGTACTATTTGGGTGGTGGATCATTCTCAGCACTGCAGTAACACTGATGTGGTGGAGTGTGTTAGTGTGTGTTGCGCTGGTCTGAGTGGATCAGACACAGCAGTGCTGCTGGAGTTTTTAAACACCTCAGTGTCACTGCTGGACTGAAAAAAAAGCCCACCAATTAAAAAACAAATTAACAGCGTCCTGTGGGCAGTGTCCTGTGACCACTGATGAAGGACTAAAGGATGACCAACACAAAATGTGCAGCAGCAGATGAGCTATCGTCTCTGACTTTACACCTACAAGGTAGATCAACAAAGTAGGAGTGTCTAATATAGTGGACAGTGAGTGGACACAGTGTTTAAAAACTCCAGCAGCATTGCACTCATACCAGTGCAACACACACTAAAACACCACCACCATTTCAGTGTCACTGCAGCGCTGAGAATGATCCACCACCCAAATAATACCTGCTGTGTGGTGGTCCTGTGGGGGTCTGGAACACTGAAGAAAAGAAAATACGGGGAGTAACAAAATATGCAGAACTACAAATGCACTACAGTCTGTAATTGTTTAACTACAAAGTGCCCCATATCGTAAGTGGAGCTGATAAAATGGACAACGAGTGCAGAAACAAGGAGATGGTTTTAATGAACTGGCCGGTTGGTGTACATCCATTCATTACAGCTGTTTATAGACCAGGGGTCTCCAACTCCAGTCCTGGAAGGCAGAAGTCCAACATAGTTTGGTGACTTTCCTGCTGAAACACACTTGATTCAACCAAAATCATCAAACTGCACTGGACTCCAATGTTCCAGGACCAGTGTTCGAAACCCCTGTTCTAGATAGATCAATTATTATTCTGAATTTGTATTAACTGTTATTTTCCGTTATTTAATTTAATCCACCCAGAGAAGGAAAACAGAGGAAAAACATCAAACAAGAACTAGAGGTGATGATGGAAGAAACAGCCAACAGGAAAAAAAAATCCTCATTGCAAAATATGATAATCGGGGTGACGGATGAAGATGGGCAGGAGGAGCAGAGACAGTATCCGTGATAGATTTAGACGCCTACCTTGTCAACTCTTACTGCAAGTGTGAGACTGTTGTAAGGTTGAGGAAAACATTTAAGAACATAATATTTTCAAAAATACCACTTGCTCTGAATCATTCTTAAGAAAATAGGTAAGAAAAGAAAATTAGACTATTCCTAAGAAGTTATTTGAAGAATGACAATTTCTCATAACTTTTTTCTTAAGAATGAAGTCAAGAAAAAACACATTTAAGAATATTTTATTTCTGAAGACGCTTTTATGGATCTGGCCCCTGGTTGCCATAAAATTCATTGAACTTCTAATAGTAAATTAACAGAACAGTAATCTACCTGCCAACCTGGTTGCTAACCTTTTTAGGTTAAAATACTGAATCATTTTTTACCATGCAATCTTTCTGTGGTGCGTTTTTTATTTTTTTAAATTGGAATATTGCTTTTTCTGTGATCCCTTACTAGCCTTAGACTGTTTTTCACTCATCATTTCAGATTCCGCCCCCCATGTGACAAGCATTCTTCTTCAAATATCCGCATACCACACATAGTTAGAGTAGACCTGAGCTCCAGGTTGAGACTTCCACGCATCTTGATTAACACTCTTGAGGAAGTTACTTGCATCACTTACGAGACGCAGCTCCTTCTGATAACTTATCTTTGTTGCCCTCTGCTTTTGCGACTGTAGATTGAGGCACTAGAGTTTAGACAGTTTGTAGACGTAAATCCAGATGTCTGGCACTTGACATATATTCTGTCTTATCAGTGACATGCTGGGTAACAGATTTAGGATAAAATGCTTTCCTTTAGCCAGGCAGAAGCATTGTAGGCACGGCTGACATAGGAAGGCTACTTTGCGACTGTTGGCTCAAAACAGGGGAACACAAATACAGTACTCTATCTGCATATACGTGGACTTAGGGGAGTTTGTATATGGTAAGTCAAGTCTTTATTCCTTTGCCAGTTGTTACTACAAAAATTTTAGGAGGGTGTAAATGAGACATTTTGGCATGTGATACAGCATGGAGGTCATTTTCTTTCACTAAGCAATGCAATCAATGTGCACACTTAAAGCTTGATTGATCTTAGCACTGACTGACTGTACTAACTATTAACTTCCAAACTGTTGAAGTATGTTCTAGAAAAACAGCAATGACTGAAGAGTATAGTGTGTGGAATGGAAGCAAGCTTGAGGTGGAAGATACCGACTATCTGCCAACTGTTCCAGTGAGCTGTGAGTTAGACTCTAGCTAAACATATCATACTAACTGTATAAAACTTACTAATGGAGTAAATATTAATCTATATTGTTTATTTGTTGTTGTAGTTGTTGTTGTTTACGTCTTACTTTTCTTTTTCTTGTATTACATTTTTTTTGTTTTTTGAAAACTTACAACCAGTGCAAATGTATGAAGAATAAATAATGAGGCCAGCTTCACTTTGGTGGTACCATTCTGTTGAAACTAGACATACGTGTGGTTACATTCCAGACTACATTCCAAAACTCTGAGATCTTAAGGAGATACAAGAAACCAGTTTGCGCACAAACAAAAGAGCAGCTTGTAAACCTTTGAACAGAACTTATGTTTAAGATAAAATCAGCAGAGATTCTTGTTTCTTTCTTTAATAGCCGAGTCAGATGAGCTTTACGAAAATGTGAACCACAATGGTTCAAGAAGATCGTCATCTTTACAAGGTAAGCTGCTGTGGGTCAAATTGTTATGAAGATGACTGTCTTAAATATTTTATCATAATAGGCAAAATGCTTCAAGTTATTAAGTTATGAAGGCTTAAACTAGACCTCTTAAGTGATCTGCTGTTCCCAGAAATGGATGAAAGCTAGCAAGAGCTCGATATTAATATTGGTAACTTTTTACTTGAACCCTGCCATGTCACACTGACATAACCATAAACATGCCAAGGCAGATGGTATATGCAATCATCAGTTTTATTTAGTAATTGGTATCACAGATCATAATAATCAGTCATAATGTTTGACGTCCTAACAGCTTACAGTTGTACACAAAAGTCCAGGCATCCTGGCCAAATTACACATTTTGTTGATTTTTGAAGTGGAAAGAAGTATACAAAACCTGTGCCTTAAACTATATAAAAACATTGTTCTGCAAACTTTACTTTGTATTTGATTAATTTAAAAAATAGAAGACAAAATTGTGGCATGTGTGAAAGTTTGGACAACTAAATCAGTACTTAGTAACACTCTTTTGGCAGATATTACAGCTTGCAAATGCTTTCCATAGCTAGTTGGGAGTTTTCTATTGTTGTTTTAGGAATTTCCCACGGTCTTTCTTGCAGAATGCTTCTATTTCTGCAATGTCGTTGGGCTGTCTTGCATGCACAGCATGTTTAAGATCTGCCTACAAATTTTGAGGCCATTTTAAACGTTTTAACTTGGGTTTCTTGAAGTACACCATAGAGTATTTTAAGGCATGTTTTGAATCATTGTCCTGTTGTAGAAGTTTCTTGACTGACTGTGTCACATTTGGTTCTAGAATTTGCTGAGATTTAGTGGAATCCATTTGCCATTCTGTGCAATGTTTCTTGTGCTGCTGGCTACCACACAACCCCTTAAGAGATCCAACCTCATGCTTAACAGTTGGCAAGGTGTTCTTTTCATCAAATGCTGTTCCTTTTTTTCTCCAAGTGTATGTTTGGTCATTGTCGCAAAAGAGTTCCTTTCTCACAAAATTTCTGGACTTTTTGTGAAATTATCTTTATGGCATGGTTATGTCAATGTTATGCAGCAGAGTTCAAATAAAGTGTTAGCTAAATATCATCATCCAAACTCAGGGGGTACTCATCTCTGGTATTTGGTTTAACCGCAAATTACATCTGGCTATTATCCAGAGTTGAATCAGGTGTGTTAAGCAAGAAAATCATTAAACTTTGCTAGGCTGAGGCCTTCCAAGACCATAGGTACCCCTATGTTGACTGGTGCCTATTAACTTTCATTCATTGTTAGCCTTCAGCATTTTAGGGTGACACATTTTCTATCCCTAAACAAGACCTTTATATTGTGCTTTGTTGTTGTTTTGTATCGTTTTTCAGCTGAGATGGAGGAGTTACGTATCTTGCTGCTCGGTCGCAGAGGAGGAGGAAAGAGCTCTACGGGCAACACCATTCTGGGCTTCCATGCCTTCAACACGGATATGCAGTTGACCCGGGTCACGCAATTCTGCGAGAAGATGGTCGGGAACATTGATGGGAAACCTGTGGCTGTGATCGACACACCTGGGCTGAACAAGACCAAGCGCATGGAGAAGGACGTGATCCGAGACATCCTGAAATCTGTCTCACTGTACAAGCCAGGGCCCCATGTGTTTCTCCTTGTCCTACCTGTGGGGAACCTCACCAATGAGGACAAGGACATGCACAAGATGATCGAGAACATATTTGGGAGAAGTATCTGGATGTACACTATCGTCATCTTCACACATGGGGACCGCCTCGAAGGGAAGATGCCAAATGACGTCATTGCCAGCTCCGATAAGGATTTGCGGCATTTTATCCGTAAGTGTAGCGGCGGATTTCTGTTCTTCAACAACAAGAACGCAGAGAACCGTGAGCAGGTGATAAAACTTCTGGAGAAGATCGAGACTTTAGTGGCCATCAACGGCAGGAGCTGCTACACCTCGGCTCTGTATCCATCCTCCGAAAAGAAGATACGGGAGAGACAGGAGAAGATCCTGGAAGAAAGACAAGAAGACATTCTGAGGAAAGAAAGAGAGCTGGCAGAGAATTATGAGGATGAGGAAGAGTTGGAGAAAAAAAAGCGAGAGCTGTGGAGAGAGGAGGAAGAGACTGCGCGGAGGCTAGCAGAGAATCAACAAAAACACAAAGTAAACCTGGTGAGGACTCAATCCTTTAGCACCCTTAAACTAGCTGTGATTAGAAAATGATTCAATCAGCACAAAATGGCATTACTGTAACTTTCTTGAAATTCCTTAACCGTGACAGATAGACTCCAGCTCAACCCTTGTGTAGGGTTAAGTAAACAGAGCTAAACTTTAAATCCTCCTAAGAATGGAGATGTTTACTGTTCCCATGATGACTATTGTGAAAAATGGTCTTTTTGTTTACCTAATGTATGACTTTACATATACCACATTATTGCACCTGATCAGTTAGAGTCTGATTGTCTAATAGTGTCATGTGAAGTAATTCTATATACCTCCGTTAGTGTAATTACAATTTACTGCATAGTTTTAATGTGATTACTTTACACAGTATTGTGCAAGCGTCAGAGATCACCCTTTACTTATTTAACTTCCAGTCAAAATGGACGCTGAGTGCATGTCTTACATTTTTAGGATATTTCTGAGGAGATAATCAACTTGAATAAGGAAGGAAAGTTAAAGGGAAATAAGTGAGTTTAAAAAATGATTTAAAGATATAATTGGGATTCCTAACTACCATACAAGACCTGGTAGACCACCAAAATTGTCAGAATAATCACAAATAATCGGTCCACTCTTGCTTCAGATTTGCAAAAAGACACAGGTGTTTCTGTACATTCTTCCACAGTGAGAAGACGACGCATCTATGGTCTGAAAGGATGTGTAGCTGTCAAGAAGCCATTACTGAGAAAAAGAAATTTTCTACAAGATAGAAGAAAATCTGCAAATCAAGCAAAGAAGCTGCTGGTGTTCCTAGAACAACTGACTGACTGCCCCATCACTGAATCCCTGAGTGTGTTTGGAATTACTTGGATATTGAGAAGTCAAAAATGCAACCAACTACCAGAGAGACTGAAATTTAGAGTTGTGAAAAAAATATATACCTTCATATTCTTTGAAAAACTGAAAGCACATCTACTGAAAATAATGGAAGCTATAATAAAGGCAAAGAGTGGACAAACTAAATTTTGAAAAAAATTGTATTATATTTATTTTTTGAGGCTTCTGTGTATTTTTTGTTAAACATGTTTCTGCTTCTTTTCTGATCTCTGAGAAATGATTTGTACTTGAAAGCAGTTTTAATTGGAAATTAACTAAATGGAAGGGTGGTCTCTGACTTTTGCACAGTACTGTAGATAGGTGTTCTGTTTACAAGTCTTTTGTCCTCAATTAATGGTTCAGCCAAAAGTAACAACACTCCATTTGTGATTAATGGAAGCTGGGATCCACCAATTAGCATGACGTTATTTACATAGTGCTAAGTGGTTGTTATAGCCTGTCAATATTTCTGTCAGAAATATTGGAATTTAAAAAAAAATAATAATCTAAACTTCAATAAGAAATTATGACTATGGCTTTATGTGCTGTACCTTAGCTTAATAGGTGAATGGACCTGTTAAATATATTTTTTGTGGGTGTTTATTAAATACTATTTATTCAAAGCTCTGGCCTGTCAGGATCAGTGATTCCAGACCCTGGAAAAGACAACCTCTGTACACCTATATATATATAAAAACTTTTGCCTCTGTCTTCTGTCTGGCACAAGAGAGAAGATGAGGACTAAGGAGAAATGGATATAAACTTATGAAAGTGTGATTAAAAGGGGTTTAGCTGATAAAGACGAAGAATCTGTTTAATAAAGAGGTAATCAACTTTGATTATGTTAGGCAGTACATGAGATGACTTATTAACTGTCAGTCTGTAACAATAGAGTATTGTTGTAAAAATGAATACTATGAATATTATATACTATAAATACTGTTCAGGCAGCTTTTTTTTCACCACACCACTAGTCCACTTCAAATGTCTTATCATACTTATACAACTGTTTTTCTACTATGCAACCCTGCAAGTTAAATGAAAAGTGTACATGCAGGCTTTAATCAGTGTTCAAGAAGCTAGAAAAAAATGCTAATTTCTGTGATTGTCCTGCTTCTATTGTTTTCAGTTTGTTCTGCTTTTTGATTTAACCCAGCATATCATAACTGTCATGCAGTCCATTTATACATACAGTACTGTGCAGATGTCTAAGGCACCTAAGCACGTTACTTAAAGCCATTTATCTTGGTAACAAATGTGTTTCCACTTGTAAAATCACCAATATATGATGAGAATAAATGCAAATAAATATATACTTAACTACACTAAAAAGTAACAAGAATTTCATTTTTCTCCCAAAATGTTGTTGATATCTTGTGAGCTATATTTTTTGGTGTCCTTGCTGCCCCCAGCCATCACATGGATTTGCTTAATTTCATCACCAACACCCCGGATTTGACTTAAAGGTGCAGAGTGTAAGATCTTAAAGAGATTGTAAAGAGGTTGCTGAGATTGCAACCAACTAAATACTCCTCCCTCAATCCTCTCTTTCCAAACATGTAGTAGAACCTACTGTGGCCATCAGGTTTTCTGCTGTAGCTTGTCCTGATTTAGTTTTGCTCCTTCATGTTTTCACTTCTTTGATTCTTTTTGTCAAAATTTGGGTTTTCAGACTTCTCATAACACAAAATGGTTAGCCAGCACCGACAGCAACCATTGATTCTTCTTCTTTCTACGTCTTCCAAACAGTGCAGTAGCGCCACCAAATTTGATCTGCTGCTTCAATGTAAAAACGTGAAAGGCACTCTCTAGCACCAGTGTTTGGTTTCTGGGCTACTGTAGAAACATGCCGGCCTCTGTTGGAAGAGGACCCGCTCTATGGAAATATAGGGCTCATTCTAAGCTAACGAAAACACAACGATTTATAGTTACAGGTGATTATAAAGTAATAACAACATGGTTTTGTATATTATATTCCATTTCCGCTAATAGATCCCCCTAAATCTTACACACTGCAGCTGTAATGATGGATTGTTTAGGCAAACCAAGTATTGAATGATCACAGATAATAACAGGCTACCATGAGGAGAAGTTGTTGTAACATAAGTGTTTGTCTGAGCAAATAAATACTTGCTGACCAGACAAATAGCTTTACAAGTCCAATTTTGGGGTCTTTTGCACAGTACTGTATGCGTGCTGCTAAATATGTAGTATTTTACTTTAAAGTGTTTTTGTGCCTTTAGTTCTAGCACTTCTATCTGTAAAAAACAGACCAAAGTACATCAAAGTACAAAGAACTGGAGGATGCTGATGGGTGGTTTGGTCAAGCCCTAGGGAAAGATATTTGCTATGAAAAGCTTTTTGCTGTTTCACTGACACTTTGAGCTCCATTAAGCAAATGTGCTGTATAAACGAACACTTTAAGCTGCATGAATCCCTTGTCTGGCCAATAGGTGACAGATAAGAAAAGCATATTCAGGCACAACATATTCTTTATTGGCCATAGAGAGCAAACTGCTGTTTTCAGTGGAATGCAGTGCAACTGGAAATGACAAAGTTACAGTGTTTCTCTGCATACAAAACACCCACACACATGCACACACACACACACACAGACACACGCACATACACACACACTGCAAAGAGCACAAAACATGAGCTGCTCTGTCTTTTAAAATCACATTGCCAATGTATTCTGTTCTAACTCTCAATACAACTTAGCCAAGTAATCAAGAACCGTACCACTGCTTCCCTATGAAAAGAAATATATTGTTGTACCATATTCTGTAAGTGTATTCAAAAATATAATAATATGCAAACGTTTGGGTGTCCCTGATCAGATGACATGTTTTGTTGATTTAACACGTCCTTCACAGAGAACACACTTCTGAACATTTTAATGCACAATTACTGTTTATTTGTTGAATTTAATGGTAACACTTTACTTGAAGGGTGTCTACATAACACATTCAGAACATCTTACATAAACACTTCCTAACATGTTCATGAATGTTTAAATCAACATTCATAAAGAATACATATATTACATTATATTCATACAGACTACTATACTGACAGACCTTTTTTTTTCCTCTTTTTATTTTTATCTGTATTATAATCAGTGAATCGCCTCATTTCTGGATAGCCAAAATAAAAATGACCTCTTTTTACCCCTTTAGTCATTAAGTGCTTTGACACTTAGGCATGTGTTGCCTGTACTTCCTATGCTTTCAACTTATTTTATTTTATTTTTCTTAAGCAATCGTATTTTGCACTTTTTTTTGTATTCTGTCTCCTTATTTTAATCTATGTCTTCTTTAAAATTTTATTGTGCCAAAAGGTTAATTCACCAGACTGAAATGCATGTTATGTGGATCTTTAAATTGCAATGCAAAGTAGTCTACCTACACTTGTGTAGCTATCCAGCATCTACAGGGAAGAGGTGAGTTTTATGTAAAATTGAGTCCCACCCCATACTAAGATTCAGCTGAACATTGTTTATAGCATATTTATGAGTATTTTAATGTCCATATAGTAAAATGACATGCAAAACAACAAATGCTTAAGAAAAAAAAAAACAATTAATTAACAATAAGTTGAAAGTATGGGTGACAGGAATTGTCAAGGCACTTTCTGACCAAAGGGGTGAAGCGAGGTCATTTTCATTTTGGCTGTCCAGAAATTAGGTGTTTAACTAAAAAATAATGCTGTTTTTCAAAATAAAAATTGAGCGCTTTTATTAAAAAAAATGTCTTTCATTAAATTGACACAGTAGTCCATATTAATATCATAGTGTTTGTGATATTAAGTATTTATGTAAGATGTTGTGAATGGTTTATGTAGACACCCTTCAAGCAAAGTGTTACCAATTTAATCTATTGGGAAAAAAACATAAAATGTTGCAAAAGTTACGGCACACGTTTGACCAGGGCTTTTCAAACCTTTGCATATGACTGTATTGTAAAATGCTTTTCAATATATCTGGTCAAAAGAATTCAGGTTTGTGCTTCATCTGTAACCTGTAATTCTGCAATATCATTAGTAATATTCAATGCACAGATGTTTGGAAGAAGTGCAGTGTGTTTTCCCAGCATGTTGGTGATCGATTACTGAGTGATTCCACCTTGTGTATTTTATTTTTAAATCTGGGAAGATTGTTTGCAAAGCTGCTTTCTTTTGGAATGAACACTTTACAGAATAAAGCTGTTACAAGTACTAGTCTATAAGCACATGAGTATTTGCACATATAAGAGCCCATATTTCAAAAAACAAAGAAACCAATCAAATTCTTTTTTTAGGCTGGGTGCAAGGCATTTCCCAAACAGTAAAACCTTTGTGAGTTTGTGCTGTGTTACATCTGATTCAGTTGTCAGATCCAGTTTACGGAGAGCCTGGCCACTTCCTATTTCTCCAGTTATATCAACAGCATGCCTGTAAAACACCAGAGAGCGCAATAAATGAGGAATAAATGAGGATGAATGAAGCTAAAAGCCTAAAAACCAAAAGTTAAAATAGTTTCTAACCACTTGTCCAGGACCTTCCTTTAGTTTTGGAAAGTAGAAGGATGTTTTTCACTAAAAGAGCACAGCTGTATATTCACGTTTTTATACAGCAACAGGCTTTGGAATAGAACACTAGCATTACTGCTACTTCGTGCTGATTAGTTGGCAAGCTGATTAGCTGATGTCCTATGACTATGAAGTTCAAAAGTGCTCAGAAATATAACAGCAATGTCGAATGTTTTATGCAGTTCTGTGTTCAGAAAATTACTGCATTTGTCTCTATAAAACATTATTAAGCATTTACAAAATATGATTTTGCACAAACACTTCGTAGGAACCCATTCATTTTGGACTCGATCTGGAGGGCCCTCTAGTGTTTGACAAACCCGAGGATATTATTGAGTGGCAATTCTCCTCTCTACATGGTTTAGTTAGATTGTCAGTGGTCTAGTTGTCTTTTGTCAATCCGCCACAGTTCTGCTAGCACAGCCTTTTTTATTCTTAGAAACAGAAAGTTTTGCCCCATCACTTTTGAAGGTGTGGAGCTTTCTGCCCTACTGTGTATTATTAGTGAGTTACTGTTTGTAATTTTTTTTTATATGACTGTTTTGATTATGGATAAAATCTAAT